TAATGGTCAGGGGTCCCTTTACCTTTATACAATTTCTATGTAGGCTTGGGCCCTAGAGACTTCAGAAATTAAGCTCTGGTGCTTGGGTGTGTGTGTGTGTGTGTGTGTGTGTGTGTGAGAGAGAGAGAGAGAGAGAGAGAGAGTTTGCTTGTGTGTGGTGGCTCTGCTCCCAGCACCCCCTTTGGCCAGGGACCATGCGCAGGAAGCGCATCTCTCATATCTGATGCTTAATGCCCATGGAAGCCAAGCTATGCCGTCCCTGGCAAGGGACCAAGGAGAGAGCTTCACCCGTCAGCTGTCAGAGCAGCCTGGCCGAGATCTTTCGGTGGCGTAAGGACACTGATGAAGGACCTCCCGCAAGTGGTGAAAGGTTTTAATGGCTGCGGTATGTTGCGGGCTATAAAGACAGGATTCCATGCCACAGGGTCAGTCTGCTGCTCCCACCTGCTCCCTGGGGTTAATGTACGACCTCCGCCTTATCCTATACCGTGAATTCGGGGGGTGCGGCTGTTGCACTGGAACCACTAACCAGAATCTACTCGTGCCACAGGTACTGCGGGGAAGGCGGGTCGCTTGCGTTCTTTGTGGGCAGGCCTGTAAAAAGCGGATGGTGCAAAACTGCCTGTGCATCTTCTCTGTAAAACCGCACTATGGATTCCTGCTTCAAAGGCTAGCTGAATGGACCATCTGTGGGCTATTACGTTACCACCAACGTTTTCCAAAGCAGCCCGGGTTGCCACGACACCGCCAGACACCGTCTTTACCCAGCTAACCCAAATCCTGTTTAAAAAGTTGATTTTTTAATATATACAGTGGTACCTCGGATTACATACGCTTCAGGTTACATACGCTTCAGGTTACAGACTCCGCTAACCCAGAAATAGTGCTTCGGGATAAGAACTTTGCTTCAGGATGAGAACAGAAATTGTGCTCCAGTGGCGCGGCAGCAGCAGGAGGCCCCATTAGCTAAAGTGGTGCTTCAGGTTAAGAACAGTTTCTGGTTAAGAACGGACCCCTGGAACGAATTAAGTACTTAACCCAAGGTACCACTGTATCCCTATAAGGGTTTAGAACAGGCACATAGGGTGGCAAGGGTGTGCATCTCGAATGATGCAAAGTTTAGAATCACAGGACAGAAATCGCTTGGTATCTGCTTAGCAGCTAAACAGGAAAAAGGCAATTGCTTTTGAGAATTATCAAAAGGGAGAGAAATTTTGGGTGGAATTATCACAGGCGGGGTACAGGTTTTGCCCTGAGTTCCACTTATTTTCAGAGATCTGAAGGGTGTTTGGAAGTGTCCTTTCTTTCCATTCTTTTTTTAAAAAGTCTTTTTAAAAAATGTTTTATTAAATTATTTTAATGTAAAACCACATTGTACAGTTATTGAAATATCCCACCCTCAGAAGCTGATGTTCAGGCAGTACATGCAGAATAACAGCCAAATAACATAAGCTTTTGTTCCAGACTGCTGTTTGTATAGAAGGCAATAAACAGATTAAGTTAACCGAAAAGTTTTATAATGTGCAGGGAGTCCTCTATTTTCCTTTTTAGCCATGTATGCAATAAAGCTGCATCATTCAATTACAAATAAGTCTTTGTGCTTGAAGTTCTGCATCAGTTTTATTTTATTATTTTTTCCAGTAGTGCTATTTGCCTTACTTTTGGTATAAATAATAAGATTATTATTATTATTCCAGTAATCTCATTATTATGAGCCCGGCTGCTAGTAGAAGAGAATTTATGGAAGGTGTCTGTCTGTTAATATTATCTCCCTTGAAAAGAATGACGAGAGCAGCTGCAGACATTTAGAGACATTTTGTCCAATAATTAGCTGTAAGTCACTTTGGGTTGCCCTGGGCTATATAAAGTGCTAATTTTAATAAATAAAAGAGTAATAAATAATTTATTTTACTGGGCAAATACTTCCTTGGAGAATGGAGAATCATCTCAGCACCAGAGGTCTGCACTCTGCAGCCTTCCTCGATCCCATGTGTCAATTAAAACCCAGGGAAGACACCATCAGGTAACTCGTCCCAAGGTTTCTTTTCCCAAATCAGGAAGTAGAGGTAGCCAGGGAGGCTGCAGAGCAAGGGAAAAGGTTAAATAGGGTAGCCAGAGGTGATGAACGATGGCCCGTAACAACATAATGGACCGGAGGCAGCCAAAAGGCATTCTCAGATGCAAGTCTTCATCCACAGAGAACAACCCTGTCTCTGCAAGACCCCACAACAGAATACAGTGGTACTTTGGTTCTCAAACTTAATCCGTTCCAGAAGTCAGTTCCAAAATCAAAGCGTTCCAAAACCAAGGCACGCTTTCCCGTAGAAAGTAATGCAAAACGGATTAATCCGTTCCAGAATTTAAAAAACTACCCCTAAAACAGCAATTTAATATGGATTTTACTATCTAACGAGACCATTGATCCATAAAATGATAGCAATAAACAATGTACTGTACTATAAAATAAATAAGACGGTATTGTAGATGATAAAAATTAAATTTTTTTCTTACCTGCACTGATGATAGTCATTGTTTGGATGGGGGGCTTTTATCCATTTCCACAATCACACAATCCATCAATCAGTAGCTGAACTGGGTTCCACACAGTCACAAAAGCAAATTAACCGAAAAAGCCTCAAAAACAAAAACACAAAATAAATAGCAAATACAAAAGCGCCAAACTTAATCTGTTCCGGAAGTCTGTTTGACTTCTGAAATGTTTGAAAACCAAGGCGCAGCTTCTGATTGGTGCAAGTGCCCCGGAAACAATAGCCAACAGCCGCATCGGGTGTTCGGCTTCCAAAAAGCGTCCAAAAACCAGAACATTTACTTCTGGGTTTTCAGCGTTTGAGAACCAAGGTGTTTGAGAACCAAGGTTCCACTGTACAGGAATCTTCCGGGAATGGTTTTCGGTCTGTGTGGCTCGATGTTGAAGCCAAAGCGGCCTGTCTGGATTGATGACTACTGTCCGTTCATCAGCTTCATCAACTCTCAGAGCTCAGAAGGTACCAAACAGGTGATGAGCAGCTTCATGTCTATCTCAGCTCTAGTGATGCCCTACCTGCAAAACCCACAACCTGTGTCCTGTCCTTAGTGAAAGGATCTGAAGTGCCAACTTGGCCCTGCAACTGTGGGCGCCCGGGGCTGTGGGTGCTATGCACCGAAATTTGTGGGTGCTCAGCCCCTTCATGGGGAATTTTGTTGGTGCTCGAACACCCAGGTCCCCAGGGAGTTTGCACCTATGGAAACGACATTGCCTCTCCCCACCCGCTGCAATTGCAAAGCAGAGGGGCACACACCCCAGAGAGAGAGAGAGAGATAGAGAGAGAGAGAAAGAGGACTGTTTTCTTTGGCAATGCAGACCCATTTGCACAAGTATAGCACGAAATTAAAAGACGCCTGCTTCTTGGGAGAAAAGCAGTGACAAACCTAGACAGCATCTTAAAAAGCAGAGACATCACCTTGCCAACAAAGGTCCGTATAGTTCAAGCTCTGGTTTTCCCAGTAGTGATGTATGGAAGTGAGAGCTGGACCATCAAGAAGGCTGATCGCTGAAGAATGGATGCTTTTGAATTGTGGTGCTGGAGGAGACTCTTGAGAGTCCCATGGACTGCAAGAAGATCCAACCTCTCCATTCTGAAGGAAATCAGCCCTGAGTGCTCACTGGAAGGACAGATCCTGAAGCTGAGGCTCCAATACTTTGGCCACCTCATGAGAAGAGAAGACTCCCTGGAAAAGACCCTGATGTTGGGGAAGATGGAGGGCGCAAGGAGAAGGGGACGACAGAGGACGAGATGGTGGGACAGTGTTCTCGAAGTGACCAGCATGAGTTTGACCAAACTGCGGGAGGCAGTGGAAGACAGGAGGGCCTGGCGTGCTCTGGTCCAGGGGGTCACGAAGAGTCGGACACGACTAAACGACTAAACAACAACAACAAAGCATTGCAAAAATCCATTTGCTGCATTGATAAAGCGATAGCTATTTTATTTTATTTTTAAAAGGTTAAATGGGAAGAAAATGCATATGCACGCTATCCTTGGCCACTTGCGCATGGCTTGCGCATGACGTGGACTTTGCAGAGGCATCTGCTTGGCCACTGTGAGGAAAAAGATGCCAAATAAGACAGAGGCCTTTGTCTGATCCAGCAGCCAGGCTTTCCTGATGTTCTTGTGGAATGCCTTTAGGATTGGAAGGGTTGATTGGAAACAAATGCAGTTCTGTCTGGATTTAGTCAAAGATGTTATTCCTGGGGAAAGGGGAAACACATGATGAATGGATGAGGATGCATCGGTGGCGAAGAGGAGAGGGGGGCGCCTGCATATTTTGGATGGTGTCAGTCCGTTCCCAAACTGTGCATCAGGGCACGAGAATGTATCACGCAAGGATGGCTCGTGCGCTTCCATGAATGATAAGAAAAAACAGCAGGGCCTGCAACAGAGTGTTGCAGCACGAGTGCATCTGTTCAGCATTGCATGCTTTATTCTAGAATGTTCCATGCCACCTCCATCCCCACCCCACCCCTTTGGCTGCAGAGCCATCATAGCATAGCACCTGAGTCTGCTGGTGGGATTACGTATGAGGGATATTACGTGCGGGTGTCATTATTCTGGGTTATTGTTCAATGGCTTCAGGGTGTTTTGCAGGAAGCAATTAACAAATGAAATCTGCATTTATTCATTTCATGAAATAAATAAGCACCGCTTGATTGTTGTTGTTTTAAAAAAAGAACCTCAAAGCGGTTTACAAAAAGAAGGAAAATAAGATGGCCAATAAGAAAAATCAACAATAATAATTTAAGACTTGTGAAAAGTTAAAGTAACAATAGACTTAAAAAAACAGATTAAAACTCGTATCAACTTTCTAAACATCTGTGTAGGTTTTTCTAAACAAGAATGTTTTTATCAGGCGCCAGAAAAATTGCAGTGAAGGCCCTTGCATGATATCAATAGGCAGGGAGGAGAGAGAATATGTATACGTGTGTGGATAACTAGAGAGATCTGGGATAGCTCAATTGGTAGAGCATGAGACCCTTAATTTTAGGGTCATGGGGTTTGAGCCCCACGTTGGGCAAAAGATTCCCACTTTGCAGTGGGCTGGACTAGATGTGGCCTAGAACCCTCGTACCTACGGGACCGCCTCTCCTGGTATGCCCCGCGGAGGACCTTAAGGTCCACAAATGACAACATTTTGTAGGTCCCAAGTCGCAAGGTGGTTAGGTTGGTCTCAACTAGGGCCAGGGCCTTTTGAGTACTGGCCCCGACTTGGTGGAACGCTCTCCCACAAGAGACCAGGGCCCTGTGGGACTTGACATCTTTCCGCAGGGCCTGCAAGACAGAGCTGTTCTGCCTGGCCTTTGGTTTGGCCTCAGTCTGACCCTTAGGTTTCTCTCCCCTTATGGTCTTGATCTATGGGCTACTTTTAAAATGAGGCTGCATTTTAAATTGTATTTTAACCTGTATCTTAAATTGGTGGTTTTTTTCCCCTATTATGTTTTTACTGTAATTTTACTGGTGTTAGCCGCCCTGAGCCCAGCTCTGGCTGGGGAGGGTGGGGTACACAGTGGTACCTCAGGTTACATACGCTTCAGGTTACATACGCTTCACGTTACAGACTCCGCTAACCCAGAAATAGTGATTCAGGTTAAGAACTTTGCTTCAGGATGAGAACAGAAATCGGGCTCCGGCCGCGCGGCATCAGCAGGAGGCCCCATTAGCTAAAGTGGTGCTTCAGGTTAAGAACAGTTTCAGGTTAAGAACGGACCTCCAGAACGAATTAAGTACTTAACCCGAGGTACCACTGTAAATAAAATTTATTATTATTATCTGATGACCCTTGTGGTCTTTTCCAGTTCTTAGATAGATGATAGATAGATAGATAACATAAAAGTGCCCTATCACAAGTTTGGAAACTTCTACTCCCCACTTACTGACATAGCCCCCTCCCCACTGCAGACAGTGTTTGTGTAGACCAGCCATACCCAATTCTGCTACCCTCCAGATGTCTTCAGCTGGTCTGGCCTAGAACTAAGCCTTAAAAAAAAAAAAGCAATGTACAGTGGTACCTCAGGTTACATACGCTTCAGGTTACGGACTCTGCTAACCCAGAAATAGTGCTTCAGGTTAAGACCTTTGCTTCAGGATGAGAACAGAAATCGTGCTCCGGTTGTGCGGCAGCAGTGGGAGGCACCATTAGCTAAAGTGGTACCTCAGGTTAAGAACAGGTTAAGAACAGTTTCAGGACCTCTGGAACGAATTAAGTACCGTATTTTTCGCTCTATAAGACGCACCAGACCATAAGACGCACCTAGTTTTTGGAGGAGGAAAACAAGGGAAAAAAATATTCTGAATCCCAGAAGCCAGAGCAGCAAGAGGGATCGCTGTGCAGTGAAAGCAGCGATCCCTCTTGCTGTTCTGGCTTCTGGGATAGCTGCGCAGCCTGCATTCGCTCCATAAGACGCACACACATTTCCCCTTACTTTTTAGGAGGGAAAAAGTGAGTCTTATAGAGCAAAAAATACGGTACTTAACCCAAGGTAGCACTGTAAGACTTTCCTCGTCAAGCTTCTGTAGCGCATGATCTGCACGTCGGATGTTCGTGGGGGCTGTTCATAAGCCTTTTTGCTCCTTCCCAGTCTGCCTGGGTGGGGCTGGCTATACAGCTAAGGCTGCCAAATAGGAGAGCACAGCGAAAGAGTCAAGCTGCCCTTCTTTGCGAGTGTGAGGGGAGGCCAGATGGAGATGGGCTAAAAATAGAAAAGGTTCCAACAACATGGGTCAGAAACCACACACACACACACGCCAAACATCTCGAAAGTGACTCACTCTCCTGCCACAGAGCAAGCTGACCATGAGCATCAGGCTGCTGACTCACTGGTGTTGAGTCAGCCCCCTGGCCGCAGTCACACCCTACACTGAGAGCATGAGGATATTGCTTTAAATGGCCGTGGCTTCCCCCCAAAGAATCCTGGGAGCTCTAGTTCGCTAAGGGTGCTGAGACGTGTTGGGAGACCCATTTATTCCCCGACAACTCCCAGGATTCCCTGGGAAAACGGACGGATTGTTGAAGCACTCTGAGAGGCCTGGAATGTTTCCATTTCAGTGGTACCTCTGGTTACGTACTTAATTCGTTCCGTAGGTCCGTTCTTAACCTGAAACTGTTCTTAACCTGAATACCACTTTAGCTAGTGGGGCCTCCCACTGCCGTCATGCCGCCAGTGCACGATTTTTGTTCTCATCCTGAAGCAAAGTTCTTAACCCGAGGTACTATTTCTGGGTTAGCGGAGTCTGTAACCTGAAGAGTCTGTAAGCTGAAGTGTATGTAACCCGAGGTACCACTGTATTTTTCAAGAGGAGTGCCATAGCTCCGTGGCAGAGCAGCTGCCTTGAATTCAGAAAGTTCCATGTTCAGTCCCTGCTGGAATCTCCACGTAGGGTTGAGAGAGACTCAGAGATAAGACTAAGTGAGATGGAGCAATGGCCTGTGAAATATACTCGGAGTTGAGTGTGAATTTCATGCTCTTTATTCAGCTCATAGTAGCAATGAATGAAACTTTCCCCAAAACATCTAGCTATATATAAATTAGGAACGCGGGTGGCGCTGTGGTCTAAACCACAGAGCCTAGGGCTTGCCGATCAGAAGGTCGGCGGTTTGAATCCCCGCGACGGGGTGAGCTCCCGTTGCTCAGTCCCTGCTCCTGCCAACCTAGCAGTTCGAAAGCACGTCAAAGTGCAAGTAGATAAATAGGTACCGCTCCGGTGGGAAGGTAAACGGCGTTTCCGTGCGCTGCTCTGGTTCGCCAGAAGCAGCTTAGTCATGCTGGCCACATGACCCGGAAGCTGTACGCCGGCTCCCTCGGCCAGTAAAGCGAGATGAGCGCCGCAACCCCAGAGTCGTCCGCGACTGGACCTAACGGTCAGGGGTCTCTTTACCTTTATATATACACATGTTATTTACACAATGGGCCCCGCGTGATTGGCTAATTCCGGAGGCTGCTCCTGCAGGCCAATCAGGTTGCTGGTTCACTTCATCCAGGAGCCAGATTGGCTGCTCCTGCAGGCCAATCAGGTCGCTGATTCACTTCTGCCTAGAGCTGGATTGGGTGGCTCCTGCGGACCAATCAGACTGCTGCATTCTGGATCCTATTGTTCTAGAATTCAGCTCAGTACATAACAGTCTGGCTCTGTATGTTTCCAGGAGGACAGTCTGCCTTCTGCCCATCTCGTTCACAAGGGTGATAAGAGTTTGGCTTTGATATCCCACTTTATCACTCCCTTTAAGGAGTCTCAAAGCGGCTAACATTCTCCTTTCCCTTCCTCCCCCACAACAAACACTCTGTGAGGTGAGTGGGGCTGAGAGACTTCAGAGAAGTGTGACTGGCCCAAGGTCACCCAGCAGCTGCATGTGGAGGAGCGGAGACGCGAACCCGGTTCCCCAGATTATGAGGCTATTGCTCTTAACCACTACACCACACTGGCTCTCCATGTGTGATGCCTCCAAGTGGAGCATTTGGAATTCTCCCCAAAGGCCAAGTTCCAGGTTCCACTCTTGCATACAAAGCTCCCACTGCTGTCTGAAGGATGTAGACGCCAACAAGCACTTCCTGTCTTCTTTAGCAAGTAATGGGCAAAACCTCAAGTAGAGAGATTTTTCCAAGGCAGCCCTGTTCCTTGGCAGGTCAAGTCTGTGATTGGCTGTGGATCCTGCCTTTGCAGGGGGTTGGGCTAGATGACCCCCTGGTTCCCTTCCAACTCCACGATTCTGTGATTTTTATGGTTTCTATTTTCCACACCTCCCACCCACTCCAGTTTCTCATTTTTCCAGTCTCCAGTCTGCCCCATTTCCACATCTCTTGGCGTCTTTCTACCCAATTCCTCACGTAAAAATTGATCAGGGCTTTCGTCTGTGTGTCTCCTAAAATATGCATTTTTTGTATACCATTTTGCAAATCTCCGTGGGAGTTGGGAGTCCAGCTTGCAGAGGTCCCTCTAAAGTCCTGTTTTTCTTTCTTTGGTTGAACACACACACAAACACACGTGCCGTTTTTAGAAAAGAGCTCTATCATAGTGCAGAATTGAACCATCTCCCCACAAAACTGACCCGTTCGGAGCTTTCCGCACCCCCTGAATTTCAACCGGTTCTTTTCATTGCTTAAAAAGTGGCCCCTTTGCGCTGCCCCTGGGAGAGGACCTTTGTGGTCGGTCGGATCTAAGAGGACCTTTCCTGGCCCCGGACTGACGATGGGAAAGTTAGAGGCATAAACATTCTCACTCCCCCTCAGCTTAAAAAATGAGCATCTTTATCAGGTCGGTGCCAGAAGCAAAAGGAGGGTCTGGGAGGCTCCTCCTTTTTTGTCTCTGTCAGCAGATGATCGAGACTCACTAGAAAATTGTGGTTTAAAGGCAGCAAACGAGATGGAAGGATCCTTTGCTTTCAAGAAGCTTTCCCCCAGCCCAGTAATGTCCTGTAAAATCCAAGCGTAATATGGCAGCCCTAGGGGAGATGGAAGAAGTTCTCTTGCCTTGCCAAAGAAATCTTCTTCTTCTTCTTCTTCTTGGCAATTCCTCATAGCTGAGTAAGATCGTCTTCCATAAACACGGTTTTAACAAGGAGTGCGTAAGTGACTGTGGAGGCCAATTCTGGATCTCATGATAGTAGCTTCAAGAACACTGAGTCCAGACCGATCTGCATCCTGCTATCGTCCCTTCCTCCTTGTGCCCTCCGTCTCTTCCCTAACATCGAGTGTCTTTTGCCCAGAGAGTCTTCTTTGCTCATGAGGTGGCCTAAAGTCATTGGAGCCTCGAAGCTGTCAGGGATGCTGTCCTGTCCAGTGAGCACTCAGGGCTGATTTCACTTGCAGAACTGGAGATGTTCTGATCTTTCTGGTGCAGATCCATGCGGACTCTGCTAAGAGTCTCCATCGGCAGCTATCCAGTAGTCATTGCAGAACAGCATCAGTTCTAGATGGCCATGGCCTGATCAGCAGGCTCTTCTTCATGGTCCAGGGCTTTCACTTGCCATACATCACTACTGGTAAGCCCATAGCCTGAACTATGGATGGACCAGTGCTTGAA